GTTGCATACATCGAGTATACACATGCGCACACAAATGTTTTCCATTACGCCATTATATTATGTAATCACAATGTTCATTATTTGATATGTACACACTAGCACACACTATGTACAGGTTTTTGCACTATTATTGCACATTTAAAAATCTTGGAGTGGTAGTCGTTGAAGCAGTCGACAGCACACAATGCAACTCCACACCCTTCACACCATGTTTGCACCATTTTATGTTTCTGTTCTCTTCGTTTTGTTGTTTTACATACTATGCAAGCACGTTGGCCTATTGCACGCATTCCACCTGCTGGCAAATTCTTTAGTCTGTGTTACTGAAAGGCATCTATGTGAGCGAGCCTGGGTGTTGCATCATGCTGCAACACTGGGTTCATGATTGGTCTTTGTATGCCAGGGACATCTTGACCAAACTTTGCTAATAACCGTGTTGCAAGTGTAAAAGCAAATGAACGAAAAATAGGTTTACGTCCAGTTTTCACCAGATACAAATTATAGCAGTTCAACATGCTCATGTCAACAAGATAGAAAAACACTTTTTATACATTTCAATGTTTTCCGCACATACTCGATAGTGCCAACCATCATGTCAGCCTTATCAAACGCATGTTGATAGTGTAGTCAAGAACACAATCTGGTTTATATACTGATTCTCTTGTTACACGGTGCACCTTGCCACTGTTCACCATTGTACCCTCATGAACGGTTGTCAGCAGGTTCACTTCTCTCTTGTCTTTCCACCGTACCGAGAGTATTTGATCACATTTCCGTACCTGGCACTCGCCAACTGCAAGTCCACCATCAAATACTGGCATTTCCCTTCTTCGTGCCTTTGCTGTGCCAACCAATCCGGTTCTATTTTCAATCAAGAACCTAGCTAGCAATGTACTTGTATAGTAATTATCTGTGTATGGGATGTGGCCCTTGTTCATCGATGGTGCCATCAGTGACTTCACCACACTACCCGAGAAACCATGTTCGTCGTTACCGGGAATGTCTACATCGCTAGCCAAATACAGAATCATGTGTAACACGTATCCTCTTTCAGTCACACAGTACAAAGAATTTCAATCCAAATCTGTTTCGTTTGGAGGGAATATACGGCTTGAATGAAACACGTCCTTTGAAAAGCCCAAGGGATTCGTCAATCACCAGCTTCTGTGCTGGTACGTAAAAATCTCTAAATTTTCCAATCACTTCATTCATATAGTGCCTGACTCGCCAAAGTCTATCGTCCTCTGTCCAGTCCTCACTACTTGCAAAATGCAGACACCTGAGGAGTATCTGAAATCTGTCTTGGGACATATATTTCCCGAAGAAAGGTTTGGAATAGTCAGATCTTTGCTCCAGTAATCTGTGATAGCATGTTTGACACTGTGTTTCAACATACATATTGCTAAAAACACATACATTTCACCTACATTGGTGTTTTTCCAACGTTGCAATCGTGAAAATTCTGATCTCTCTCTTCTAATGAGATGTGCCGCATGAAGGTTCGTTTGGCGTACAATATATTCCATGAGCGGCTCATCATAGAATGCTGTAAAATAATTCAATTCATTCATGTCCTCTCCATTATCAGGGAAAAGCTCTGTAATCCCAACATCTTTATTGTCCAAAGCAGGAATTCGAGTAATAAAACCAGCACCATCACTCCACACTAGTACACCTGGTGTCCTGCGAGACGCAGGGGATGCAAGAGGGGCACCACAGCGAGGAAGCAATGCACCCCATGAACCAGGAGCTGAAGCCCGTCTACGCACAGTACGGCCGCTATGTGATACCTGGTTACCTGGTTGATGGGGTTCTGGGAGTTCTTCTACTCCCCAAGCCCGTCCCGAGGCCTGGCTCGACTTGTGAGAGTCTGGTCCACCAGGCTGTTGCTTGGAGCGGTCTGCAAGGCCACGTACCCACCACAGCCCGGCTGATCCAGGAACTTCTCTTAGAAAATCGTCCAGTTTTCTCTTGAAGATGTCCACGGTTGTTCCGGCAATATTTCTTATAGTCGCTGAGAGGACGTTGAACAACCGCAGACCTCTGATGTTTATACAGTGCTCTCTGATTGTGCCCATGGCACCTCTGCTCTTCACTGGTTCAATCTTGCATTTTCTTCCATATCATTCACTCCAGTACGTTGTTATTTTACTGTGTAGATTTGGGACCTGACCCTCCAGTATTTTCCATGTGTATATTATTTGGTATCTCTCTCGTCTCCTTTCTAGAGAGTACATTTGGAGAGCTTTGAGACGATCCCAATTATTTAGGTGTTTTATCTCGTCTATGCATGCCGTATATGTTCTCTGTATTCCCTCTATTTCAGCAATCTCTCCTGCTCTGAAGGGGAAAGCGAGTACTGAGCAGTACTCGAAACAGGACAGCACAAGTGACTTGAAGACTACAACCATTGTGATGGGATCCCTGGATTTGAAAGTTCTCGTAATCCATCCGATCATTTTTCTGGCTGACACGATATTTGCTTGGTTATGCTCCCTAAACGTTAGATCGTCGGACATCATTATTCCCAAATCCTTGACATGTTTTTCTACTATGGGAAGATTTTATCTATGTGTTTTGTACCCTGTATTATGTTTCAGATCCTCATTTTTGCTGTACCTGAGTACCTGAAATTTATCACTGTTAAACATCATGTTATTTTCTGCTGCCCAATCAAAAACTTTGTTGACATCTGCTTGTAGTTTTTCAATGTCTTCAGCAGAGGTAATTTTCATGCTGATTTTTGTGTCATCTGCAAAGGATGACACGAAGCTGTGATGTGTATTTTTGTCTATATCAGATATGAGAATAAGGAACAGTAGCGGTGCAAGAACTGTACCTTGTGGTACAGAGCTTTTAACGTCGCTTGGACTCGATTTTATCTGATTGACTGTTACTCTTTGTGTTCTGTTCGACAGGAAATTGAGTATCCAGCGTCCTACTTTTCCCGTTATTCCAATTGACCTCATTTTGTGAGCTATCACCCCATGGTCACATTTGTCAAACGCCTTTGCAAAGTCTCTGTATACAACATCTGCATTTTGCTTTTCTTCTAGGGCTTCTGTGATTTTGTCATAGTGGTTGAGTAACTGTGACAGACAGGATCTTCCCGCTCTAAATCCATGTTGTCCTGGATTGTGCAATTCATTGTTTTCCATAAAACTAGAAATTTGATTCCTAATCACTCTTTCAAACACTTTTATTATGTGTGATATTAGTGCAACTGGCCTATAATTTTTTGCCAAGGCTTTACTCCCCCTCTTGTGCAATGGAGCTATATCTACAGATTTAAGTGCTGCTGGTATCTCTCCTGTATCCAGGCTCTTTCTCCATATTACGCTGAGTGCTTTCGCTACTGGTCCTTTACATTTCTTTATGAATATTGAATTCCATGAGTCTGGCCCAGGAGCTGAGTGCATAGGCATATTGTCAATTTCTTTTTCAAAGTCTGCAGCTTGAATGTCCCTCATAAAGAAGCTGTCTGGGTCATCAACTTTCATGTTGTTTATTGGTGCTAAACATAGCCTCATACTGGCTTCTTAGAATTTCACTAATCTCTTTGTTGTCCTCTGTGTACTTACCTTCATTTGTAATTAACTGTCCAATACTGGTCGAGGTTTTGGATTTTGATTTGGCGTATGCGAAAAAATATTTCAGATTTTTCCTTATCTCTTGTATAGCTTTCTGTTCCAATTCCATTTCCTCAGACTCATATGATCGCTTCACATGCACCCTACGTGCATGTGCACGTAGGGTGGAAGCACGTGAACATGAGGCTCTTGGTGCCTCATGTTGTACCATGCAGTGGCGCTTAGCTGGGCGAGACGCTGCTGACGCGACAAATTCTTGCCCAGTAACACCACTGGTACTGGCACCAGGCTCGGTAACACTGTTCTGATTCCACTTCACTAAAACCAGAAAAAGAGTCACCTTCCTCTGACTCGTCACCGAAAATATCCTCAGACTCTAAATAAGCGCAGGAACTGTGTGGCCGAGGGTGAATTGGGGTAGACACTGGGCGAGGAGGCATGGGTGAGCGTATAGGCCTCGCCATGGGAGGCAGCTGTATCTCATTTTCACTGTCCGTGCTATCATCATCGGTGACTTTTGTGTAGTCTTTATCAATGTCAGAGTCATCAAAATCACTTTCCTCACCATCAGAAACTAATTCACTGGTTATTTGCTCTTGGGTGAGTGATTGCGTCGTGCGCGCACGGGAAGCCTTCGGCCATGTGCTCGATATAGTGGCTGCTGGGTAACTGAGGCTTCCCAAGCGATGGTAGCATGAGCTGGATTTTTTCAAAATGGCGGCTGTTTACTATAGCCCCTGGGCAGCGTATGGAGACCCCCTATACCCCGCGGGCCTTTCAAATCTTGCGCGGTACTCCAAAACATCATATGATGTGGAGTGCAAGTTACTGCAAGTCGCTCAACTCCTCATATGATGTGTTGCGCAACTAAAGGGTTAAAGTGAGGAAAAAATTATTTCTACCTTGTTTATAATTTTCATTTATTGGAAAGCCAATTTTGTTTTCTTCAACAGAGAAACTGCCTTAGCATTCTCTACAATATATTCCATGCTAAATCATTGGATCAAGGCATTTAGACATTATTATTATTATAATTCAATAAATTAAGGTAGTAATTTTATTAAAAAAAAATACAGCTCATGTAAATATTCCTGAAAAGCAAAGGCTTCAGGATTACACACAGAAATCACAATAACGTGATGCATTAAACAAACAAATCCACAAGGGCCATGATGAGGGTTCGAACCTACGTCCGAGAAGATCCCTGACCTCTACACGATTCAAATACTGAAGAGAACAACTAACTATGATTGCAATGAGTAGAGTAAGCTGTGATTTTGTTGTTGATACAATGATAGCCATGTTGTATCAAAAATGCTTTCTAATGTTTTCAAACTTCTATAGTGGCTCCCTGTAACAGTTTGTTCAACAAATTGATGTTTTATAATACAGTAATAGTTTACCACTGACCATATTAGCTCCGGCCTGTAACAGGAGGTCAGCAACATCGGTGTGCCCTTTCTCACAAGCGTAAGTTAGTGCAGTTTTTCTTGTTGGTGTCTGGGCATTGACATTAGCACCAGCTTCAATCAGATACCTGAGAAGATAGCAGTTTAATTTTATTCTCGGGTACTTTAAATTCCTATTTATTACCTTACTTTATACAGCATAAAATTCAAGTTAAAAAAAAACACACACACACACACTTAACCTCTTATAAAAGTACTGTGTTAAGTACAATATAAAAACACCAAAAGTGAATCAAAGACATCACAGTACAGTACAATGGGGCCTCGACTTGCGATGCTAATCCGTTCCCAGAGACGGATCGTATGTCGAAATATCGTTCGAAGCGATTTTTCCCATAAGAAATAAATGGAATTGAATTAATCCGTTCCCCACCCTCCAAAATATTAACATATAAATACATTTTATACTGAACACAATGTTTTTATCTAACTACAATACAGTACCTAATTTTCTCTTACCTTTATGGAGGGCTCTTGATGGCATATGGAAGATGGTGAAGAGGGGGGAGGAGGAGAGATGTTACTGTTTGGAAGGGGAGTCCCCTTCCATTATCACATCAGGCAGTGATGTTTTCTCTAGGGTACTCTCTCTCCTACGTTTTGCCTGAATACCACTAGGACCTGGTTGTGGTTCAGTGCTTGTTTGTCTCACTACAAATTTGTCAAGAGACATTTGTTTTTCCCTTTGTTTTAACATTTGTCTGTAAAGATGCATCACAGTGTCATTGAATAGGTTAAGGCAACGACCTACTGCAGCTTGATTTGGAAGAGTCGTTTCAGCAAAGGTTTACAATTCTTCCCATGCTGCACACATTTTCTTAATTGTTGAGGAAGAGACATTCTGTACTCTTGTTTCTGCTCTATGGTCATCCTTACATGGGTTTTCATATGTTGAGTCTTACCACTGACTTTCCTGACTCATGGCATGATATACAATAATTACTTTAATGTTCAAAATGCAAAAAATCACCACAGAAGCGAAATTTCTTATATGCGCGATCGTCACTAAGCGGGCAGCTGTAGTAAACCGAGGCAGATCGGCCGCGTGACTGGGAACCACGCGCTCGGTCCACCCGAACGTGTACCAATAAATATCGGAAGTCGACGACACCATCGGATGTCGAGTCGCATTTTTCAATGAAATATACATCGTAACTCAAAATTACCATAAGTAGGGGCAATCGTATGTTGAGGTGCCACTGTACTTGGATACTACAGTACAATTATAAGTAAAGTTTATTTTAAAACTGTTTATTGCAACTGAAGGAGGTATTCCAAGTTTATATTATTAAGTCTCACAATATGAACACTTTAAAATAATACCCTCTTCTACCTGCACCTCTGAAACCAAAGCTGCATCATGTACATTACCTAATGTAAAATATTTGGGTAGAATATGGAATATATTCATGTGTTCTTAATTTTAATTGAAAAAAAAAAAACTTTAGAATAAATGACACACACAATGACAAACATTTAGGGAAATCTAATACTGTATAAAGTATGCACAGCTATTATTAACCACTGTGCTGCTCACCTTCCAAATACGGCACCCCCCCCCCTCCCCCACATATGCGCAGAAAATAAATTCTTGGGGAATTTTTTTTTGTTTTTGAAAATGTTAAATACCCTTTCGTGATCACAGATATGTAAAAAAAAAAAATAGAAACTGTAATTACTTTGGCCGCAACGGGGGTCCGGAAAATGGCGTGTGACGTCATGGTTTGGTGGTAGCCCCAGACAGACTTTCCAAAGCCCGCCCGCCAGCTTCAATATGCGCAAGTTGCCACAAATATTTTTTTGTTCATTTTTTGCGTACATTTCCAAATACATTTGTTTTGTTTTTTCTTGCCAATCCTATGTATAATGAATACATACACCATTATGGCAGTAGAACATCCGTACTGTCCCAAGACACTGTGTTATGTGTGTATCAAATGTGTTAACATATATTGCTCATATATCCAATGTTTCATGTTCATTTATGTATATTTACACACTGTACACTATCACACACTATATACATTCACCATTAACACACTCAGAAACTCTGTGAGTGTGAGCTGCCACACCCAGCCAGCCCTCCCTCCCTCACTCCTCCAACACCTCGCTTACCCCTTACTCGCCAACATTCCTCCTCCCACCATACTTTTGTTTTATTACACTATTGACACACGTTAGGTATGCGTATCTACATGTTTTATTCACCATAACTATGCAAGTAAGCCGGTATTGTGTCCAAACAGCACAGTGGCCTCCATACACTGCATTAGAAATCACACAGCAGCCAGCAAACAACGCTACGAGTACGACGCCACCTCTCTCACCAAAATTCCTCTTCCCACAATACTATGCACATATATACATGGGTATATACACACATTGTATACACCCATGTACATGTGTGTTCACCATAGCGAACCACTAAGCTAGTATTGTGAGCAAAACAAGAGTGGCTGACACACACACAGTGAGGCTACATGGATTCCCTCCCTCCCTCACCAAACTTCCTCCTCCCACAATACTGCACAGTGCTAATTATCACCACAACCCTACTATTATCACAATCCTGTAAATGAATAACTGACCACATGTTTATTTTGTAAAGTAACGTTTGAAGATTCCTAGATGGACGATATAATGCTGTGGTGCTGTGGCTAGCGCTGTGAACATCGTAAACAGCATTGATTCACTGATATTTCAACATTTTACACAGTCATTATCACACCCAGGCTCTTCTGTAATACTATCATGGCTAAATATTACCAGTTTTTATATTCTAAGAATATATAGAATATATTTTATATTCTAGAATATATTATATTCTTTATACCAGAATATTCTAAGAAAACTACTCCAAGCTTGTACTAAAGAGGCACCCTTCTTGAGCCCGGATGGGCACATGTATAAGCAAGTAGATGGGGTCGCCATGGGTTCTCCCCTAGGTGTCCTGTTTGCAAACTTCTACATGGGTACCATCGAGCAAAAAGTCTTAGTCGACATGAACTTGAAACCGGCCATATACTGCAGGTATGTTGACGACATTTTTACACAGGTACCTGATGTCAGACATCTGCAGGAGCTGAAGGAGGCATTTGAGCAGAGTTCCGTGCTGCGTTTCACTTACGAGATGGAAAAGGATGGGAAGCTGCCCTTTCTAGATGTAACAGTCATGGAAAAGAGCGGAGGTTTCCACACTGCAGTCTACACTAAGGAAACGAACATAGGAATGTGCCTAAATGCCAACAGCGACTGCCCAGACAGGTACGAGAGGAGTGTTGTTAACGCATATGTCGACCGTGCTCTCAGCCACAGCTCAGAATGGAAGCAAGTCGACGAAGAACTCTGTAGGGTAAGGCAGGTCCTAGTCAACAACGGCTTCTCCAATGGTTTCGTCGAAGACATCATCATAAGGAAAGTGAAACGCCATGCAACCTCTGAAGAGACAACTAACACAACACCTATACCCCCTATTAGACTATTTTACAGGAACTTCTTTTCCACAGCTCATAAAACGGAGGAAAGGGTCCTGAAAGATATTGTTAATAGAAACGTTATCCCTACAGACAAAAATCAGAGGATACAACTGACGATTTACTATAAAACCAGAAAAACGGCCAGCCTACTCATGAGAAACTCTCCAGACACAAAGCAGAACGCTTTAAAAGAGACCAACGTCGTCTATGCCTTCAAATGCCCACTTGGGGACTGTAAGCTCCAAAAAACCCAGTATATAGGCAAGACAACAACATCTCTTTCTAGGCGTTTAACGATGCATAAGCAACAGGGCTCCATTAAGGAACATATAATCTCTTCCCACAACCAAACCATCGCCAGAGAAATCCTAGTAAACAACACAGAAATCATCGATAGATACAGCGATAGCAGACGGCTTGACGTTTGCGAGGCACTGCACATTAAGAAGTCAACACCAGCAATCAACAGCCAATTAATGCACAACTATATTCTACCCACCTCAAGACTCCGCTCCAATATAGAAGCATCAAGAAATATGGACCAATAGGCTTTCTACAATCACTTCCATTTCAATACCCATTGTTTCGTGTTCTGTCTTGTGTTGATGAAATTAATACCCTATTAAATACCACCTCACCCCATCCACCTCACTCAAATGTAGATATAAACAAATCGGAGATATGTAAGTTCTATTCAGTTGTGTATGTGTAAAGTCTTTGAAAATGTAATAAGTTTTACGAAACGCGCTCAAGTGTCGCGTCAGACTAGAAATAAAAATGAATTTTGGAGAATTGATTTTTGAATTACCTCCAACAGCGAAAAGAAATGTACGAAAGATTGAGAAAATTCGTGTTAGAATTATTAATCTTACTTTTTCGGTCATATTTAATAATATATGTCTACAGGAAAGACTGCTACCATAAATATATATATAATATATATATACATATATATATATTTATATATATATACATATATATATATATACATATTATATATATATATATATATATATATATATATATATACACATATACATGTACATATATACATGTATACATATGCATATACACATATACATATACATATATACATACATACATATACATATGTCGTACCTAGTAGCCAGAACGCACTTCTCAGCCTATTATGCAAGGTCCAATTTTCCTAATAAGCCAAGTTTTCATGAATTAATGTTTTTTCGACTACCTAACCTAACTTTTTCGGCTACCTAACCTATAAAGATAGGTTAGGTTAGGTTAGGTAGGGTTGGTTAGGTTCGGTCATATATCTACGTTAATTTTAACTCCAATAAAAAAAAATGACCGCTTACATAATGAAATGGGTAGCTTTATCTTTTCATAAGAAAAAAATTGAGAAAATATATTAATTCATGAAAACTTGGGACACGAAAGTTGTCCGTGGGACCATGGAAAGTTGTGTATCTGAATAGAACTATTCAGTTCTATTCAGTTGTGTATTTGTGAACTAAAGTCTTTGAAAATGTAATAAGTTTTACGAAACGCGCTCGTGTCGCGTCAGACTAGAAATAAAAATGAATTTTGGAGAATTGATTTTTGATTTACCTCCA